TTGTAGAGATGAGGTCTTGCCAAGTTGCTCAGGCGGGTCTCGAACCCGCGGGCTCAGGCAATCCACTCACCTCAGCCTCCCAAAATGCAAGATAACAGGCTGAGCCACTGAGGCCGGCTATCCTCCTCACTGTTTAGTTTCCCCGCACACCCTTCAAACTATATGGACTAGTTATTTCATGCCATGTCTTTTAGCAAGTTGCCCCTTTTGTTTATTATAAGTTGTTGAGTTTATTTAGAATGCCCTGGATAATTACTTGATCTTATTTTTTTAAAATTAGTTTTATTTTTAGCAAAGAAATAGATATATATAGCCCTAAAAAAATCAGCTAGTACCAAAAAACAGATCTAAATAGCAGATCTCGGCACCATACCTGCTTGTCTCTCCACTTCCTTAGAGGAAACAACTTTTGACATTTTTAGATGTTTCTTCTGGTATCCAACTTTGTATTTAAATAATTGTCTTATAATGTTACTTCTTGACTTGTCAAGTTTAGACTTTATCTACCAAGTTTCTTTTCTCTCATAATCCCAGGGCTGATACTCAAAACATTCAAGAACTGGCACAGCACAGACGCTGATTAATCACAACCACTTTTCCCACATGGTGCCTGTGGGCTAATTGCTGGTTCTGATTTTATTTAAAAATTTTGTTAAATTATCAATATTGACATTATTGTAGCCACGTAAATATTATCTACTGCTGAAACAGTTAACACTATGATTGTTATCTTGCTTACATATTTTTGGAAGTTATTAATTGATGCTTTAAAATCATTTATTTCTCATTAAAATCTCATCATAAACTTTAACTTGGCTGGGCGCAGTGGCTCAAGCCTGTAATCCCAGCACTTTGGGAGGCTGAAGTGATGGGATTGCCTGAGTCACGGGTTGGAGAACAGTCCAGGAAACTTGGTGAGACCTCATCTCCACAACAAATCAAAAAATTAGCTGGGCATGGTAGCGCACACCTATAGTTCTGGCTACTTGAAAGGCTGAGGCAGAAGGATCGCCTGAGCCCAGCAGGTCGACACTGGGGTGGCCTTGAGCATGCCCCTGCACTCTAGCTTGGGCAACGGAGTGAGATTCCGACTAAAAACAAAAACAAAAACAAACAAACAAAAAACACTTCAATTTATCTTCGAAGATAGATTGTCTATGAAGATAACTAGGCAGAGTTGATCCTCCATCCTGTGTTACCCCCTTGGTTATCTCTTTTTTGTGTGTCTTTTTTTTTTATTTGCTCCCTTGAAGATTTGTGTGTCTACTTTACTAGCGGGAAAGCTTCATGAAGTTCATGACAATACTTGTATCTGTTATCTTTGAGCCTTTAGTGTCTTGCATCAATGTCAGACATACGGCGCGTAATAAATATTAGCGGAACTCCAAAAATCAATCAATCAATCAATATTAGTTGAATTATGGATGGAACAGAAGTGTCCTTTCTCTTTATGGCAACCTCTAGCATTTAGTAGTATTTAGTGAGCATTTCTCTGATTTCTGAGTCTCTTCTTACAGATCAATATCTCAAATACCTATTAGGGTCCAGGTAGTTAAAAAATAGCAAGTGCAGAAAGCCTCATGGGATTCATGGCCACTTACAGGGGTCACTTGTTTTTTTAATCCTAGCCAGTTGCGAGGAAAGGGTTTCAGATCTTTGTTGCCAGACCTACTGCTATTTCAATGGGAACAGAGAATTTTGGTTTAATACAAAATGCCTTGATTCAATTATTAAAAGCTGTGCAGGCCCAGAAAAATGGTTCTTCCAGCTGGACTTGGGTCCCGGCCACTAGCTTGTGACCTGAAGGTGGCTGGGGTCGGCAGCAGAAGTAGTGCTGCGGGCTCTGACTTGGCCCAGGCTGCCTCCGTCCCAGGAGCTCTGATTTTGCCTGTGAAGACGGTGACCTCCTCTTGTCAACTGACCCCAGCAGGTGGAGTGAGGCTTAGCAGAAGGAGCCTGGGTCACAGTCCGCAGCCTGATGGAGTGATTGGAGGCTGGGGCTGGGTGAAAATGGAACCTGAATTCCCTCTGTGAGGTGAAGTTGGAGAATAATGCGTTCATTTGTCAGTGATAACAGGAAAGAGGGCAAGTAGACTCCAAATTGTATAGCATATGCCAAGCTGTGTGCTTTTAAAAATTATCGTTAACTCAAAGTTTATGATAACCCTGAGGAGGAGATACTGCCATCCCCAGGTGGCAGATCTATGAGATTTAAAGATTTTTTTTTCTTAGTTTCCATCTTAGAACAGATGAACTCTAGAATTAAGGCCTCCTGATAATGACCCATGAAGAAAGCTTATGTATGGAATTTTAAAAATGAATTAAATGGGGCATTATTTTTCCACTAGAAATTGTCCTGGCATTTTTGAATATGAAGAGTTTTTTTTATTTGTTTGTTTACAGATTGATTCATTCATTTTTTCAGCATTTGTTGAATATTCATTATTTTCTGTATTAAGGACTCAGTTTACAAAGAGGGTGAATATGCAATTCCTGTACTTAAGAAACCTTAAATGATTATTTGCTTTTGTTGTTCTAAATGAGAAGGGAGAAAAGGTGTAAATAATCTGGAAATATGGTGACCAACTGTAACTAAAAAAAATGAATTACTCATTTTTTCCTTGTTGCTATAGACAAAATATGATTTTAGAAAAATTAGAAAGTAGAAGTAAGGAAAATTAAGGAAAACATCTCTTCCTAACTGGTATTTACTTATTCACCTATCTGACTGCATAGAAAGTTTTTGCACTTACCACACATATACATGCATACAACAAATACACACTCCCACAGAGATAAGACTATATTGCTATTCTGTAGTCTGCTTTCTTATTGTGGAATATATTGAAATGTTATATCAATGTTTGAACATATTTTTATGGCCAAATAGCATTTATTGTATGAATATACTTCAATGTATTTAATCAATCCTTTTTGTTAGATATAGGTAGTTTCTATTTTTTAAAATGCATGCCATTTTATGGCTAAATCTTTTTATTTATCCTCAATTACTTCTTTAAAAAAATTAATAGTAATCTAATTATTTGCTTTAAGATTAATACATTTTTGGATTTTTTTTAGCTTTTATGTTCTGTATGGTGCTAAATTGTCCTCCAGAAAGGCAGTACTAATTTATCCAAAACAGTGGATTTGAGTTTCCTTTCTCTTCACTGTTGAAGAGAAGTTGCTAAGTACAATGTCTTCCTTTAAAATTTTTTAAAAAAATTAGATAGATAGGAAAGAGATTTTCCTTTGAAAGATTCTTTTTGAAAACTCTTTTGACCAATGAAATTGCCTTCTACTATTGTTTTTTGGCACAGGACTTTCATTTTGTGTTATGGTTAATTGGTTGGCTGAGTAACTGCCTCAGTGACTTGGGAGCAATTTGAGGATGAAACTGGTCCTATTCAAGTGTGGGTTCCTAGATGCTCATGAATGCTTCTTGAATTGAACTGAATTGGAGAACATGCTTAGTTTAGCAATCATTGGCCAGATGTGTAAATTTCAATACATCCAGTGGGCTGCACATTTTATTTTCAGTTGCAATATAATGAGTATTATTATTATTATTATTATTTTGAGTAGGAGTCTCACTCTGCTGCCCAAGCTGGAGTGCAGTGGCACGCTGCTCATGACCACTGCAGCCTTAACCTGCTGGGCTCAGGTGATCCTTCCACCTCAGCTTTCCAAGTAGTTGGAACTATAGGCATGCACCATCATGTCCAGCTAATTTTTTGATTTATTGTAGAGATGAGATCTTGCCAAGTTGCCCGGGCTGGTCTTGAACCCGTGGGTTCAGGCAATTCTCTCACCTCAGTCTCCCAAAGTGCTGGGATTACGGACATGAGCCACCATGCCTGGCATTAATGAGTAATTTTTAGTGAGCATTTATGACATGCCAGAACTGTGTTAAGTGCTTTGCCTGCCTAATTGGCAAAAATAAGTCTTGAACTCAAGAACACCTAATTCCCAAGCCATATTTATTTCCCTCTCTCCACCTTTCTTCTCCCCTCTTCTCCCATTATCTCCTCTTTTTATTATAAACATGTTTAAATGTATGCAAGCCAGAAAGAACATCACAATAAACCTTGATATACCTGCCACCTAGCTTCAGGAATTATCAACATGTGGCTAATCTTGTTTCATCGTTGCCTTTCCCTCCTTACCTTGTACTTTCCCTCCCATGTTGGATTATTTTAAAGCAAATCTCACATACATCAATTCTTTTCATAATTATTTAAATACATATCTGTGAGATATGGACTCTGTTTCTTAATCTAAACTGCAATATTATTATCATACTTTAAAATATCTATAACAATTCCTTAATATCATTTGACCCTGTCAGAGTCAAATTTCTCTGATTATTCCAGAAGTAACTTTTAGATGGTTGGTTGGTTCGAATCAGGATCTACATGAGGACTGCATATTCTGAACCATTCTAACTACAATATGGTATTCTTCTCTCCCCTGTAAAACATGTGACCTATTCTTCTCCGAAACAGAGATTGCCAGGTGGAGGAACCTACAAATTTTAAAGACATCTCATGGATAAAATATGTCATTTACATCTCAGAGGGACACTCACTAGTTAATACCTGAGAAACACTGGGTTTATGTGAAATCAGGAAGGCACTTGGCCATGTGAGTTCATCCTCCATTCTTCCTGGAAGAATTCATCCAGAAACTAGGAAATTAGTTGCCATGCTTTCTTGCTTTTGTTATATAACATCATCTTAAGGTATGGTCAAGTCTCTTCTCTTAAGATTTATAGTTAGGTGTAAGTGATGTTAGCTTGAAGATTCTGTCTTTAGCATTGAACTGAAAAAATGAACCATGCTGGCATCTCTACCCTTTCCTGATTGGGAGTGAATGACTTGAAAAATAGAAGCCACAGGCCTGTTATTTTCATAATTAGGTAATGAATTTGGTATAATATTTCACACTAAGCAAATGTCCAAGTTTTCATGTTTGTTTTTGGTTCTGTTTTGAACTTGAAGGTCTAGTGATACTCCACTGTGTGGTGGCAGATGGGAATTCGACGAAAAGTCCTGAAACTAATGGCCTCCTCTGTGGAGATCCTGAGGAAAACTGTGCAGGTAACATTTAACAAGCTTCATATTCAATCTGCATTTTAGTCTTTTGGTAATGAAAGTAATCATAACACTAGGTAGTTGTTTGAGCACAAATTCATGTACCAAGCACCGTGCTAAGTGTTTTATATACGGTAATTCCTTCGCTCCTCATAAGAACCCTCTGAGCTAGATAATATTTTTGACTTTATTTCAAGGGGAAATGTACAAGGATTAAGTCACTTGCCAAAAGTCACACAACTGGTAAGTTGCAGATCTGGGTTTCAAACTCAGGTCTTTCTGATTCTAGTGCCTCCACTCTTAACCACTATACTATTTTGGGTGTCACAGATGTGTGCTACTGACTTTAGCATGAGATATCTTGGTCTGGATTTATGGGAAGTTGACATATTTTGTTCAAATATATATTATTTTTTTCTTTTTATTTGATACTTAAAAGAAGGGAGGAAGGAAAGGACTTCATATTTTTCACCTTGGAAATGTTTGAATTAGTGTTCTCAAAGCTATTAGTCTAAAGCAGGGATTGGCCTTAGTAGAGATCAGATAATGAGTGTTTTAGGTTTTCTGAGTGATGAAGTCTTTGTCACAAGTACTCAACTCTTCCATTGCACAGTGAAGGCAGTGATAGACTTTGTGCAAATGAATAAGCTTGGCTGTGTTCCCACAAAATTTTATTCAGAGAAATGGACTGTGGGTCAGATTTGACCTTGGGACCATAGTTTGCTGACGCCGGGTCTAAAATTCTGTTTGTTCTGCTAAGATGTTATGGACTGTTGTTCTACTAGGGTTGTTTCTGCTTAAAAAATAAAACATAAACACAGGCCAATTCAAAAAGTAGGGTGGAGTGGGGAAGATCCTTCCATATTCCCTGGAAACTTCTTCAAGGGGGGAGTATGGTGAGTTGGTGTGAAGTGCTCCTTTCCTAGCACCCTGGGGAAATTGTAACTGAGCCAGGAACATGCTGAGCAATCTTCCTGATGTGAGTCATTAGTTCCAGCTCAATCTTCCTCTTTCATACTCCACAGTAGTGGGTGGTCTGGAGGGTGTTCCTAAGCTGTAGAATTCAGTGGTGTCTTAGCTCATGCTTGTGGGTCTTGTCACCCATGTAGAGAGAACAAGGCCAACTTTATGTGTTTGTGTGTTTTTCTTCAGTCTGGTCTCAACATGATGGCATTTTTTTTTCACATTTCTCTTGGGAAATTATTTCATAATCTGATGACTGACAATGTTGAAAAATCTTCTTCAACATCCTTAGAAATGTATTTTCTTGGACATAAAAATGAGAACAGCCAGCTCTGGGGGCTCCTAGAAAGGGTGGAAAGGGTTGAAAAACTACCTATTGGGTTACCTGGTTTGCTGTTTGGATGAAGGGTTTAAAGGAAGCTCAAACCTTGCCGTCACATGATATGCTCATGTAACAAACCTGCACATGTACCACCTAAGTGTAAAATCTTTAAAAATTCTTCTCCAATTTTATTTATATTGTAGTAAGAACATTTAATGTGAAATCTACCCTTTTAACAAATTTTAAAGAGGACAATGCAGTATTGTTAACTATAGGCATGATGTTGTACAGCAGATCTCTTAAAATTATTCCATCCTGTATAACTAAAACTTTATCCACATTGAATGACAGCTTCCCATTTTTCCCTTTACCCATTCCCTGGCAATAACCATTGTGCTATTAGCTTCTCTGATTGTGAATTTTTTGGATACCTCATATAAGTGGACTCACATTATATTCATCTTCCTGTGCTTGACTTATTTCATTTACCATATGTGTCTTCCAGGTCCTTCCTTCTTTCCTCCCTCCCTTCCTTCCTTCCTTCCTTCTTCCTTCCTTCCTTCCTTCCTCCCTTTCTCCCTCCCTTCTTTCCTTCCTTCCTTTGATGTTCTTCCAGGTTCATCCATATTGTCACAAATGCCAAGACTTTCTTATATTTTTGAGGCTGAATAATATTTGTGGGTGTGTGTGTGTGTGTGTGTGTGTGTGTGTGTGTGTGTGTGTGTGTGTGTTTGACATTTAAGATGCTTCCACCTTTTGGTTCTTATGGAGTCATGCTGCAAAGAACATGTGAGTGCAAATATCTCCTTGAGATCCTGATTTTAATTCTTTTGAGAAAGTAACTGGAAGTAGGATTGTTGAATCTATAAAGTAGTTCTATTTTTAATTTTTTTTTTTAGGAAACTCTATGCTATTTTCCATAGCAACCGCACCATTTTACATTCCCATCAACAGCATACAAATGCTCCAATTTCTCCACAGCTTCTTCAGCACTTATTATCTTTTTTTTTTTTTTGATAACTGCAATTCTAACAAAGTATGAAGTGACATATTCTTGTGGTTTGCTAACATGAAGTTGAACATCTTTTCATATACTTGTTGGCTGCTTGTAAGTTTTCATTGGAAAAATGTCTATGTAAGTCTTTAAGCCATTTTTTGAATTAGCTTATATTTATTTTCTTGTTACTAATTGTAAGAGTTTCTTATATATTTTGCATATTAACCCCTTAACAGATGTATGGTTTGAAAACATTTTTTTCTCTGTAGATTGTCTTTTTATTCTGTTAATTGGTTCCTCCACTGTGTAGAAGCTTTTCATTTTATATAATTTCACTTGTTTATTTTTGCTTTTATTACCTGTGTTTTGTGTGTTGCATCTAAGAAATTATTGCCAAGACCAATATCAAGAAGTTTTCTTTCATGTTTTCTTGTAGGAATTTTACAGTTTTAGGTCTTAAATAAAAATCTTCAATCCATTTTCAATTGACTTTTGTATATAGTATAAGAAAAGTGTCCAATTTGATTATTTTATATGTGAATATTTAGTTTTCAGTCATTATTTATTAAAGAGACTACCCTTTCCCCATCGTATATTCTTAGTAATCTTACTGCAGATCTGCTGATATACATGCATGGGTTTATTTCTGGGCTGTCCATTTGTCCATTGTTGATCTATGTGTCTATGTGTCTGTCTTTATACTAGTACCATGCTGTTTTAATCACTGTAGGTTTATTATACATTTTGAAATTAGGATACATCCACCTCTGTTCTTGCTCAAAGTTGTTTTGGCTATTCAGGGTTCTTTGTGATTTTCCCTATTAATTTTAGATTTTTTTTGTATTTCCACAAAAAAAGTCATTGGGTTTTTTTGGAAATTGCATTAAATCTGTAGATCACTTTAGGTAATATGAATATTTTAGCAATTTTATATATTTTAATCCATGAACATGGAATGCCTTTTTATCTTTTATCTTCTTCAATTTCTTTCATTAATGCTTTATAGTTTTTCATTGTACAAGTCTTTCCCTTCTTTAGTCAAGTTTATAATTTATCTTTGGTATTTTATTTACTTTTTTGGTGCTACTGTAAATGGGTTTGTTTTCTTAATTTCATTTTGGATAGTTTGCAGTTAGTATGTACAAATGCAACTAGTGTTTGCTGATTTTGTATCCTCAACTTTGCTACATTTGTAAATTAGTTCGTGTGTGTGTGTGTGGGGGGGGGGTGTTTGTGTAGTGTTTAGAATTTTCTGTGTATAAAATCATGTCATCTTCTAACAGATAAAATTACTAATTATTTTTCTGGTTCGAATGCCTCTTATTTCTTTCTCTTTCCTAATTGTGTTGGCTAGGGCAACCAGTGCTATGTTCAATAGAAGTAATAAGAGTATGCGTCCTTGCCTTGTTTCTGATCTTAAAGGAAGAGCGTTCAGTTTTTCCCATTATGTATGACGTTAGCTGTGGGGTTTCATATGCGGCCTTTATTATATTGGGGTAATGTCTTCTATTCCTAGTGTGTTAAGAGTTTTTAATTATCAAAGACGCTTTATTTTTGACAAATGTTTTTTCTGCATCTATTGCAACGATCATGTGATTTTTACTCCTCATTCTGCTAATGTGGTGCATAATCCTGACTTATTTTTTTTAATGTTAAATCATCTTCATATCCCAGAGATAAATCCCACTTTGTTGTGGTGTATGATCCTTTTATTTTGCAGTTGGGCTAGATTGATTCTGGTATTTAGTTAAAAATTGTTGTGTCTATGTTAATTAGGGATAGTGCCCATATTGCCTTGTAGTTTACTTTTCTTGTGGTGTTTTTGTTTGGTTTTGGTATCAGGGTAATGCTGTCCTCATAAAATGAATTTGAAAGTGTTCTTTTCTTTTTTATTGTTTTTTTCTGGAAGAGTTTGACAAAGATTATCATTAAGTATTTAAATGTTTGATAGAACTCACCAGAGAAGCCATCTAGCCTGATTTACTTTTTTGAGTTTTCTTTCTTTTTTCTTTGTAAGTCTAGCTATAGGTTTGTCAAATTTACTTATCTTTCAAAAAACCAACTCTTGGTTTTGTTTATTTCTATTGGTATTCTTTTCTCTATTTTATTTATTTTGAGTCTAATCTGTATTATTTTCTTCCTTCTACTAATATGGGCGTAGTTTATTCTTTTATCCTGGAGAATGCTCTGTGTGTACCTGAGGAGAATGTATATTCTGCCGCTGTTAGGTAGAATGTCTGTTATTTGTCTGTTAGATACATTGAGTCTATTATGTTGTTCCAGTCCACTGTTAACCTATTGATTTTCTTTCCAGATATTAAATCCATTATTAAAAGTAGGATATTGAAGTCTCCTACTATTACAATACTCTTATCTGCAGAACAGTTCACTGGGCAGTCTTGAGCTGACCCAGGTCTTCTGCCTTTCTCACTTATGGTTCTCAGACATAACTACAGAATGTGCTAGGAATGCAACATTCTGAGATAATGATGAACTGGCCAAAACAATCTGGGCTCTGTTTCTGTCCCTTCGAGAACAGGATTACCTACAATACTTTATCCTAGAAAATTCTATTTCCCGGTATAAAACTCAGGGTGTACTGCTTTTCAGGGTCTCTCAACTGTGGTGCCACATGCAGCACCCACAGGTGAGATTTCATCTTCCTTGTAGTTTTCCTGAGGCTTGAGAGACTGACTAACCATGAATACTAGGTGTCTGTTGTCC